CCCTCCACCCTACGGGATGGACTTCGAAGTGCAGTTTCACACACAGGGAAGGCAAAAAGGATTAAATGAAGAAAGTGTCACAGTATCAGAAAAATAATAGACCCATCATACCCACCTATATGTATTTGTTTAGATTCAAGGTGAAAGGGAGACTATTTCCCACTCCACTGCAATGGGAGTGGGGGAGAAAAAGGAGCTAGTGAGGAGAGAGACAAGATGGTATAGGGGATTGGTAAAGGAATAGGGAACCTTGCACCTTTATCCCATCAGTTCAAATCCAGCCCAGATAGCTAGGGATTTAAATAGCATCTGACAGCATATAGGAAGTGTTATTGTGACCTCACAATAGGAATCCACATAAAAAAAATCATTCCAATTGTCACCATCTTGGGACATCTCAACAAAATGAATGGACAGAATGAAACGCCCTTCCATCTACATGTGGCCACTACAGAACACAGCTAAGTGTGAAGAAGATTGCACTATAGCTGCCTGTTTTTGCTCCCATTATATGAATAAAGGAAAGGAATTCAGTCTCCAGAGCCAGCAAGCTGCCACCTAGGTCGCTTTGTTTTAAAACAAGATGATGACAAGATACTAGAACAAAATATCACAGAAAGGAAAAAAAATGTTCCTCATTCTTACCTGAATAGCTAAATCAAAGCAAGGAGGGGAGTAGTTAAAGCTCAAAATGTATACATGTAATTCCCATTAGGTTTAACAGAAGTAACATACGTGCATCCTATAAAGGATATTCCCAGAAGACAATGTATTTCCTTTTCAGCACATGCTGAAAATTCAAACTAAAGCAAAAGTGAAACTACAACATGCAGCAGTGTCACACTGACAATGACACTTCCGTACAGAACAAAGAGGTGACAGCTAAAATAAAACAAGGGTGACTGAAAATATTTGACAGCCAATATCTTTTTAGAGTGGCTCCAAGATACTCAAGAGGTAAAGGGGGACTATGGCTGAATTCAAATGGCACTTTGACATATGACACATACATGAGGAAATATGACACATACATGAGTTTTTAACTTGGGAAATTGTAGCTTAGGCAAAAGATTGCTAAAACAGCCTGAAAGAAAGTGAAAAAGAGTGAGACAGGAGAAAACTTCACAAAGCAAACAAGAAAGTTGCTGAGTTGATCCTGCAATGAGCTGCAACAACAGAGCCCTGCACAGTAATTGGGGCTGCAGTTAGCAACACCTGAAAGAGGTTCACACTGAGATGACCATGCAGATAGCTTGTCTCTTTTAACCGTTACATGATTGATTAATCAGAGTTTCACCTCCAGAAAAAAAAAATGTTGAATCGATAGTACCAGATCTTAATAGGAAAAAAAGACCAAATTAGTTTTGCTGCTAGCATTTCACACCAGCTACCCCAGCAGAAAAATAAAAATAAAAAGTAAGCCTGTAATGCCAGGGAACTTCTTTCATTTTTCCCATTCCCAAACTTCCTTCCCATTTTCCCATTCCCAAACCATTCCCCACCATTAGACTGAACTAACAAACAAAGACACTGTGGATTATACTACCTGAAGGAAATGAAGCTCACCCAAACTAGCAATTTGTTTATTCATAGTTTCTAAAGGCCCCTTACGTATTCCTTTAGGTCACGTATCCTTTGCTAATCTTTCCAGGCTCCTAACCTCAGAAATGTAGTTTCAGTGAATCAGGAGAAACCCAAGTAAATATAGTGGAACATTTAAAAAAAAATCTACATATATTTAACAAAATCCCTCCACAAAGCCAAAGGATGGGGAGGTACATAAATTAGTGGTTGCCATAAGGCCCAACTGTGGTTTTTTTCCCTTAATTTCAAAAAAATTCCCCTCCACAAAGTCTCTCTTATCATATTATAGAGACATTGTGAACAATTAACAAAATGCACTCTGACTATATAGTGATAGGCTCAAAAGTAGCAAAACCAAGCATCAAACACCAGACAAGATAACCTTTCACTCTCTATTCCTGATTTCAAAGTGCCTTCTCCAAGCCCCTCCACACGCCCACAGTCAGGTAGAACCCCAGCTTATCAGAACATACTCCAAACTCACCTGCAGGCAGGTGCCTCCCAAAATTCTTTGGGTGTTTATATATGTAAAAACTACACACATACCATATTAATAAAAGAGTACGTCAAATTCAGAGAAGGTTGTGGGGAGAAATACATTACCTCTAGATTGGGGGAGAGATAGGGGACCCAGGTATAAGAAGAGTTCTGTGCCAAAATTTTCCCATCTCATCTCATAAAGGGAAAAGAACCCCATGCTCCAGAATATTAAGAGAATGGATTTTCAGACCTGTCCCTGAACACAGCAACAGGGGTAAGAGAACTCTGTGTGCTTCCCCTTCGCTTAAACCATAGGTCCCAGTAAAGGGAGATGATGTAGGACTTTAGGTGAGGAACTGAGCTACAGGAGCCTTCAAAAGTCTTGAATTAAGATATTCATGCTAAATTTTTTTTCAAAATTCACCATAATTCACACAAAGCCTCCAGCGACTGAGGACATATCTGTCCCTGGAATACAGTGGGTTAAAAATTCCAAAATACACACATTCACATAAACAGAAAATATTATGTTGTTTCTGTTTTTCAGAATTCAGAATGTATTCATTTTTTCCCCATGGCATTTTTAGTTGAAATCATTAAAGAAATTCTCCATTTACCAGGAACTAATAGTTTTCATAATAGTTTTTCAAAATAAAAAGTTTTGAAAATTTTTTAAAAATTGAAAGAGAGCACCTTTTTTTTTCAAATTTTTTCATTTCTGAAAAGAGGTCATTTTTCAAAGAAAAAATTTCTCTCACAAAAAATCTGCTCTACCTTGGAAAAATATTCGGTTGGTATCACTTCCTTACATCATGCATAGCTCTGGGATGGTTTTACTGGGGTGGGAGAGTGAGTTAGGTAATGATGGGTTTGAGATATGTTTTTCTGTATTGTTTAGGAAAACTTATATGAGTGGATGATGTAGGTTAATGATTGTCCTACATTTAGTATTAATTTTTAATGTAAAAATTAGGGTTGAAATCTGCACATTTGTGGCCATTGGTGTATGTTATGTATGTCTGGAATTAAGGCTGCTGTTAGTTGTTCGAATGATGGTGGATTATGGGTGGACAGAGATAATGGAAGATGAGAAGGGAAAATGATGAGTAAAGCATAGGTCGGGCATTGAATGACTTTGCTTATTTCCTTGTTTTTTAGAGTCTGCACTGGAAAGCTATGCAATGTATCAACCTTACCTCAAAGTTAAAGATTTTTTGTGCTAAGGCCCCACTAAATTATATAATCAACATTGATATATATTCGCATAGATGGCAGTCAATACATGCATGTATTATATACTCAGTATACCCCCTTGCACAGTCCCAGCATCCAGCATCCCTGCATAATTTTGTCCCCTTTAGCTCCTCAACTCACCACTCCACTCGAGCAAACCATGAAATGCAATTTCTGTCTTTACCACCTAATATGTGCGGAAGTCAAAGCAGAAACACGGCTCCTGCAAACATACATGTATATAGTATCAGTAGATCAGTAATCTCAATATCATGTAAAAAGGATACATACATGCATATTTGCAGGAGCAAGGCCTAAGAACGTGATAATGATCTCTGTGAGGGAAAGTCACAAAAGAAAAGGAATCTTGAAAGGAAGTGGAATTAATTTTCTTCCCAGCCATAAAGGTCACTAGACACATTTTACACAATTACTCATTTTGAAAATCAGTTTTATTAGGGATTTGGGGTGGGGAGAGAGTTATTTGTTTTACATTGATAGCGTTTTTTTATTTGCAGGCAACAAGTTACATTTGAATCAGTTTGAATCATTTAAGGGACTAATGATGTATGGTTGGATGATAAATGTGACAATTAAACTGTAAATATTTAGCAGCATGATAATCAAAAAACACTGCATGTTTGCTGGTTGAAATTATACCCTCCTTCACTTCCCTTTTTAATCAAAAATAAACCCCTTCTTCTCCACTGAGCTCCATGCAGTTGCAGAGACGTAAAATCTGAAGGCTGTTTGTGGTGCCCACGTGAAAGGGGGGGGGGAGGAGAGAGGGGAGAAAAAACAGTTCTCAAATCTCAGCCAGTCATTAAAGATATATAGACAGGCCAACAAACAGGAATTACATTGAAAATAAATGTGCAGACTACTCATCCAAATCTCCAGAACAGTTTGTTTTTTAAATGTTGACACAGAAAAGGACATTGAAGACAACCACTTGTGTGCTTTTAAGCAAGTACATTATATAAATAATGTTTATTAGGAGCCCCATCACCCTCTGAACACCTTGCATAAATAAAGGCCTTATCCTGCAAATCCTCTAAGTGCAGGCCTCTTATCTACTTCAGGGGGAATTCCATGCTTGTAGGGCTTGCAGTTTTGGGTCCAAATCCTGTTGACCTCTCTCAAATGAATAGTCCCCATTGAAATCAAGGAAAGCAAAATTTGGTGTCAAGTAATACCAATAAAAAAAAAGGAAATAAACAAAATAGAAACCCTAAAAATACAGAGGGATGGATATACAGACATACATTTGATCTGAGCTCCAAGGAGCCGAGAAGCTGTCCCACCCCCACGCTGAAGGTATGAGATGGATAGCTCAGCCTCATTCATGCCTGCTCCCGCTCCAGCAGAACCCAGCAGTGAAGGGAGCAGAGGGGCTTTACCCGATCTCACCTGGAGAGTTTGTTAGTGAGGCCCCCACCGCCACTTTAAACGAGTGGACAATAGCACCTAAGGAGCGATGAAATCCTTTTTAACCAAGGCGCTCCCCAGCCCCACCCCAGCTCGTCTGATGGCTGCTCCAGAGTTGCAGGGGGTGGAGACCACAATCAGCCGGACAGCGAGACCATCCTGCATCAGATTGAGCATCTGAAGGGCTAGCATCGGCGCCCACCCCACATCCTCCTGAGTGGGAGAGGTTGGGGGAGTTAGGAGGCAGTTTTCCGCAGTGAGCAGCAGCCCCGGGAATGGATGCAGCAGGGTGGATCCCCACGGCTCTGCACACGGCGGTGCTGGAGGTGGCAGCGCAACTTACTGCACCCCACGCAGCAGGGCCGGGGGTCCCGGCGCCGGGTCCAGCTCCCAGGGGTCAGAAGGGTGGGCGGGGAAAGGGGGCCCCCACTCGCAGTGGGCTACAGAAGGGGAAGAGTAGAAAGGAGCAGCCTGGCACACAGCCCGGCCGTGCCCACTCCCCCAGGGCGGCACTTGGTACCCACTCGCCCCACGCCATCCAAGGCTCCGTGCTCAGCAACAGCATCCTTCGCCCCTTACCTCCTCCCCGGCTCACACACCCCGCCCCGAGGTGCTCACCAGCGCCGCAGCGGAGCCAGCTGCCCGCCGGGATTCCTACGAGCTCGCTGGGACGCGGCCCCCGGAGGAACCTGCCGCTGCGGCCACAGCGCCGTCTGGATGCAGCCGGGGAGCAGGCGGCGCCGCACCGCCCAGGGTCTGTACCTAGAGGCCGGCTCGGGCCCCGCCCATGCTCTCCAGCTGTCACCGCCGACCCGCCTCCGGGAGGCGGAGAGCGCCGCTCCCCCACGGTGCCCGCCCCTGCCGCGGCCCCTCCGGTCTCTCCGCGGCCCACCGACTCCCTCTGCCCCGCCGGCCGGGCTGTGCCCGCCTGGGCCCCGGGGAACGGCCGCGGCGGCGGCTCCAGCGGGCGGGTGAGGAGGCGAGGCCGGGGCGGGGAGAGCAGCGGCTGCTGCAGTGGGCGGGCGAGTTGCGGCGGCCGTCGGGGCTGGCCTAGCTCATGGGGGGCAGACGCGTGGGGTGCAGAGTTGCCCCCGCGCTGCAGGTAGCGGCGAGGCCGCGCGGGAGGGCGGCCGCCCCGGGGCGGGACTGCAGGCGCTGGGAGGGGGCAGGTGCCGGGCTGCGCAAGGGCGGGGGCTTGGCCGGGCGGCGTCGGGAGCCGTGACGGCGAGGGGCTTAGGGGTGCGCCCGGGGCCCTGCCCCAAGCGGAGGGAATCCTCGTTCTCCCCCGGGAGTCGGTTCGCGCAAGCTCCCCACCCACCCCTGTGCACAGCGCCTGCTGCGCGGAGCCTGCCCGGGCCAGCTAGTCTGCACAGAAACAGGCTGCCCCTGCCCCCGGGAGCGGGGCAGTTAGCGGGGCTGCCCGAGCGCTCACGGGACACTCCGTGTGCACCTCCTGTTCCCCGGGACGCAGCACGGCCTGGTCGCTTGCTTGTTGGGCCATGCTGCTGGCGTTCCCATAGCGCCCCACTGCCTGCCAGGCGTTGTATTACTACTCGCTGATTACAACTCGTGGCACAATCCGCCTCGCAGCATAAAATGGGCCTTTAACGCTAAACTCAAACATCAGGCTCCCAGGGAATGAGACTTTTCACCGTAATTTCCCTTTGTTGGTGTGCTTTGTCCAATAGGCATCTTCCTGCAAAGGGTGTGTCCCACCTCTTTTTTCAGTAGAGCTGCTTAACTGCCATAAAACAGGTAGGTGGTGGTGTGGACAGCAGTTATATTTGTTAATTAGCATCATACATCGTAAATAGGTGTCAGAGTAACAGCCGTGTTAGTCTGTATCCGCAAAAAGAAAAGGAGTACTTGTGGCACCTTAGAGACTAACCAGTTTATTTGAGCATAAGCTTTCGTGAGCTACAGCTCACTTCATCGGATGCATACTGTGGAAAGTGTAGAAGATCTTTTTATACATACAAAGCATGATTATCATACACATTGTAAGGAGAGTGATCACTTTAGATAAGCTATTACCAGCAGGAGAGTGGGGTGGGGGGAGGTATTTTTTCATGCTTTGTGTGTATGAAAAGATATTCTACACTTTCCACAGTATGCATCCGATGAAGTGAGCTGTAGCTCACGAAAGCTTATGCTCAAATAAATTGGTTAGTCTCTAAGGTGCTACAAGTCCTCCTTTTCTTTTTTCGTAAATAGGTGGTATATTGCTGGCTCAAGAAAGTGGCTTTCAGAAAGCTAGACTCTTAAATATTAAGATTCCAAGAAGATGCTATCTGTAGGTCTCCTTTTATTATTTTGTGCACTGTCACAATCCACAGATATTTGGCACAATTGTCAATTTAACGCAATTGCTAGTATTTTTTCCTCCAGGCCAGACCTTTGTAGTTTCTAATCCCCTCTAAAGTCTTGTTATATTTAGAGGCTGCTGCTAAATATAGTATGTGCTGGAGCCTCCCAGGCCTCGGCTTTTGCCTGCTCTATCCTGACCTAGACAGAGTGTGACTTTTGTCTACTCTGTAAATTGGCTTTGAGCACAGCTTCGCTTTTTCAATATCTGCTTTCCAATATTGTCCTCCTCTGTTGGTCATTGCTACAGAGCGCTCTGGATCAGTCAGTAAAATGGGTGAAAGCGAACAGTGCAGCCACGTGTATGGTCATCATGACAGAACAAGAAGCAACGGTCTCAAGTTGCAGTGGGGGAGGTCTAGGTTGGATATCAGGAAATACTATTTTACTAGCAGGGTGGTGAGGCACTGGAATGGGTTACCTAGGGACAGAGGTGAAAGCAAGAGCCGCTACAGCGTGTCAGACCAGACCGGCTTCCCCAGGCTGGCGCTTTAAAGGTCCCAGGGCTCCCTGCAGCTGCCGGAGCCCGAGACCCTTTAAAGAGCCACCAAAGCCCTGCCGCCACTACCCCAGGGGCTCCGGCAGCAAGGCTCTGGGGGCGCTTTAAAGGGCCCGGGGCTCCGGCAGCTGCGGGGAGCCCTGGGGCCTTTAAAGCGCTGTCCGAGCCCCGCTGCCGGAGCCCCTGGGGTAGTGGTGGCAGTGCGGTAGCCAGAGCCCGGGGCCCTTTAAATTGCCCCTGAGCCCCAGGGCTCCCAGCCGCCTCTGCAGCTGGTAGTTCTGGGGGTGATTTAAAGGCCTCAGGGTCTCCCAGCTGCAGCCGGAGCCTTGGGGCCTTTAAATCTTGATTTAAAGGGCCCGGCCCGCTTCTTCCGGTCGAGGCCATGCCCCCTACTCAGGACTCTGGAGTACCAGTAAGTCCTTTAAGTTTTTTTCACCCCTGCCTAGGGAGGTGGTGGAATCTCCATCCTTAGAGGTTTTTAAGGCCCGGCTTGACAAAACCCTGGCTGCGATGATTTAGTTGGTGTTGGTCTTGCTTTGAGTGGGGGATTGGACTAGATGACCTCCTGAGGTCTCTTCCAACCCTAATCTTCTATGATTCTATGATCCATCTAGGAACAAAGAATGGAGACCACGTTTAGAGCATGGAAGAATCTGTCATGGGTAGTAATGACTCTGAAAAAGATTTAGGGCTGAGGAGTCAAGTCACAGTGGGTAATCTGTTAAACATGAACCCCCAGCACAAACACTGTGGTCATCATGTGATTGTCATAAATTGACTGGCCCTTTAAGGGTAGCTGAACTCAGCCAGACCTGTCCAGATTAGCTATCCCATCAGCAGCAGCTGGTCCTGATCAGCTGGGTGATGTTTTTAACAGGTCTGAGAGACCTCAGTTTGAGAAAAACCATAAGGAACAAGTTGGGCTCTTGTGGAAGGACCCCAAGAAAATAGCCTGGGAGTCAGTGCTCTGTGCCAGACTCAGCAGGCATGTCTACACTGCAATTAAATACCCACAGCTGGTCCACGTCATCTGATTTAGACTCACAGGCCTGAGGCTATGGGGCTGTTTAGCTACAATGTAGATCTTCAGACTTAGGCTAGAGGCCAGGCTCTGGAATCCTCCCGCTTCAACGTTTGTTACAGCAACAACTAAACTCTGTGCATGTCCCCTCTGGAAGCCTGAGTCACATGAATCCCACAGGAGGAAACTGAGGCAGGGAACACCTGCAGCACAACACTTGGCCCGAAGGAGGCACAAGAGGGGAGCTATGCCCTATATGACAGGGATTCTAACATGTATAATCATAATATTGAGAGAGGTTATATTACCTCTGTACTTGGCACTGGTGCAACCGCTGCTGGAGTCTTGTGTTCAGCTCTGATGTCAGCAATTCAGGAAGGATGTTGATAAATTGGAGAGAGTTTAGAGAAGAGCCCCAACAATAATTAAAAGAGTGGCAAACATGCCATATAGTGCAAGACTCAAGCAGCTCACCCTATATGGCATATCAAAGGGAAAGTTAAGGAATGATTTGATCTGTCTGGAAGTACTCACATGGGAGATAGAAATTTGAAAATAGAGAGCCCTTTAGTCTAGCAGACAAAGGCATAACAAGATCTAATGGCTGGAAGTTGAAGCTAAACAAATTTAGGCTAGAAATAAGGTGTGAATTTTTAACACTGCGGGTAATTAACAGTTGGAACAATTCAACAGTGGATTCTCCATCACTGGCAGTTTTTAAATCAAGATTTAAGTATAGCATATCTTTTAGAAACATCCACCAGGAAGTAATTCAAGGAAGTCCTGTGGTGTGTGTTATGTAGAAGGTCAGGCTAGATGATCACTGTGGTCCCTTCTGGCCTTAAAAGTGTATGAAAATAAGGGGCCTGATTAGCATAACTGGTCATTTCAAGATTTTACATAAATGCTAGATATTCATTTTCTAGGAAATGTAAATAAATTTGAAGTATATAGAGGATTCAGCATGAGCTAGTCCCATTGTCCTTTATGAGAATTTTTGTACCTGGTGTTGGGTCGTGTCATCAAAGAGAGAGCGTGCTGCTATGATCCAGGGGGAAGAACCTATAAGGTAATAATCATGTTCTGTATCAGAACTTGGGCTCATAACTAGTACTTCCATTATAGTGCAAATACAGCTATTGTTCTGATTCAGATAAGATGTCTAGTTTCAATGCTGCACATGGCTACCATATTAAAGTCAGGAATATATTATAGAATATCAAGGTTGGAAGAGACCTCAGGAGGTCATCTAGTCCAACCCCCTGCTCAAAACAGGGCCAATCCCCAATTTTTGCCCCAGATCCCTGACTGGCCCCCTGAAGGATTGAACTCACAACCCTGGGTTCAGAAGGCTGCTCAAACCACTGAGCTATCCCTCCCTCCCCTTAAAATTAATAAATACCTCCAGAAAGGGAAGCGCCTCACTGCTGGGGGCAACAAGCCCTGTCAGAAACTGCTGCACAGGCTCCATTGAGTTTTGAACTCATGATTCCTGGTTTACAAGACCAGTGTGATAACCCCGAGCTATGGAGCCAAGTTGTTTTTGTGCATCTCTGACACCTGTCTTAGTAAAGCTTACACAGCTCATGCTGCCTCATATAAAACTAGTAGCTTGACCAACAGTCTGTTGCTCAGTAAAATAAAGTAAAATAGACTCGGGTGTTCACTTCCTGCACTCAGTCACAAAAATGCACAGGACTAATACTGCTTTGTCAAGATCAGTGGTTGATATATTGTTGCTGCCTCCATGGGCACTGTGCTACCAGATTTTAACTAATTTTCAATACTTAGTGAAGCATGTGATAGAGAACACCTTGTATATGAAAGGTGCTGTATAACAGAGGTTCTCGACCTTTCCAGACTACTGTACATCTCACTTAAAAACTACTTGCTTACAAAATCAGACATAAAAATCCAGAAGTGCCACAGCACACTATTACTGGGAAAAGTACTTCCTTTCTCATTTTTTACCATATAATTATAAAATAAATCAATGAGAATATAAATACTGTATTTACATTTCAGTGTATAGTAGATAGAGCAGTATAAACAAGTCATTGTATGAAATTTTATGACTTTGCTAGTGCTTTTTATGTAGCCTGTTGTAAAACTAGGCAAATATCGAGATGAGTTGATATACCCTGGTTGAGAACCACTGCTGTATAAGACCCACACAAGAAAATGTTAGGCTCTGCCTTGCTTCCATTGAAGCCAATGGGAATTTTGCCGTTTAGTTCAAGGGAAGCAGGTCTGAGGAGACTATAAAGAGCAACTTCTGAAAAAAACGTAATTTAAAAGTGTTTTACTATTTTCAGAACTAAATAGTTTGGAATTACAAAGGCACTTTGATTTCCCTATATCCATATTCTTAACGAAAAAGTATTGCAATAGTAAGAAAATACACTCTTTAATTCTTCTCTTGTTGTGATTTTTTTTAAATACTGATGCGCCGATCTTAAAGAACCTGCACTTAAGTCTGGAGCTCACTTGCAGCATAGCAATGTCTTCATTATGAGTTGTCCTGACTCTAAATGGACTGCTGCCCTTGAAAACTAACCTGTCACAGAACCATTTTTTTTAAATCTACCATCCCTCACTCTCTATTGAAAGTCAAGTTGTAAGAAGTTCTTAAAAGTTCAGTTCTGAATAATTACAACTTAAACTTACATTCTGTCCTTCACGAAGAAGGATCCCAAAGATGTTTCCATAAAAAATGGACCAATCCTCAGCTTGTGAATTTAGAAGGCTCTCACTGTTTTTTTTTGTTTTGTTTTGTTTTAATTGAAAGTCAGATGCACAGGTCCAAGGACAGACTTTAGCTTTACATCAGGGGTGGCCAACCTGAGCCTGAGAAGGAGCCAGAATTTACCA